AACTGGCGTCCCTCATGTACTGTACTATGAGAATAAATTTATTTATTACCTATGTAGGACACACCACTTGTACAGACGTGGACAAGTTTTATGTAAATTACTTAAATTTGGTCTTTGGTGAAATTTCATGGTTGGTCGTTTTTGTCTTTAGTTTGTGGGAACAGTCTGCTAACTGGTCATGCAATGGAGCAAACAAAAAATTATTGAAATATTGTCTTCGTACAAACAAAAATACCCAAGTATGTTCTGGGTTCATTACAAAAACTTAGGAAAAAAAATGAAGCTTGAAGTCATTCCTCCATATAACTCTGCTGTGTATGAAATCGAATCTTATTCTTGATTTATATTCAATTAAGTGATATACTTTATCATCTTGTCAGCATTTTCATCGTAAGTGACACTAGAAGTGAATTCTACTCAATGCAGGCTAATAATGATGATTTATATTTTCTTATAAACAGATAACAGTAAAGCGTAAATAAAAAGATTATCGTGAGGTAGATAAGCGATATTTCAGAAAGCAGTAAATTCAGAGATCTGGAAGATTAGAACCCGTAGGAAAAGGTGACCTGTGAGATGTCTCACGAATTTCTGTACTAACAGTGGGGTAGCATCTCTACGAGAAGCTGAAAAGGCTTATAGATGGTAGGAGCATCAGCATTTTAACATAATATAGATCCGAACAAGCCTTACTTTTCAGTTTTTGTTAAGGGTCCAGACTAATGTTTAATTCTCGAGCTGTTAAAAAATGCATATTGCTGTCCTACAGATCGAAGCCATTCACATTCCTGACCACTACCATATCAGCTGATCAGCATGCAACACCCTCCGTCTATTCTTGATGTCAAGCTGCAAGACTTTTCTCAACAAAAGTAGTTGTAGCATTGCACTGCTCTGAGCCCGTCCCAATCCTATGGTTTGCTGCACATTAATAGCTTTCATGACAAGTGCTTCCCATTAGGTTACCAGATACATTGATACATTAGGACATTCTCAGCAGTATCACCTTTATGTATACATACATGTGTATAAAAAGGTCATTACAAATAACCAGGAAATAAAGTTTATGTTAAGAATTACATGGTATGGAAGTTGTCATTGCTACAGCAAACTGAGTTACTGACTATTTCGGAAGATGAAATGAATACTGGAACAATTAGTGATAAGTTGTGTAGAATGATCCTGAGGAAGATAGCTAGTTAGCAGAACTCGTTATGCTAAATTTTCACGACGGTTTTTATATAATAATAATAATTTATATTTTCATATAAACATAGATTTACATGAAAATGCATGCCATTTTCACAGGCACGATCAAGTATGATATAATGACAAATAGTAGATTGTCTACAAGTTAATAATGTTTGAACAGCTAAATATTTGATATATATATAAATACACTCATTGCGTGACCCATGTCGTATCATTATTGAATTAAACAGTAGTCCTCCAGGTTGCGCGGGAAAATCGACTTCGTTTCGTTTTCAACCCGTAGTTGTAGGCTTACGATAGCCAACCAATATTGAGGTAAGTACAACGTTTACACGGGATAATAAGATTATCACTTTTTTTTAAAGTTCAAATATATTATTTGTTAAGCACTGCAAAGTGATCCATCAACTTTTATGAATGAAAAAATACTCAGAAATGTTTTAACACTACACATTTTAGAAAAGTGCATGAAAATGGGTACATATGGACTGGGGATGGTCATTTCTACACGAATTGGCAGAGTGCTTTATATTTATTTTTATACAAGATAAAAATGTGAAATATTAAATGGTATGGATGGTAATATAATTGTTTTTATAAGTAGTTACAGTAACTCAACTTATTGAAGATGATATGGGAGAAACAAATCAGTAGAGGGGTGGAATAATATCTGCATAAGTGGTAGGATAGAAATAGATTAAATTGACTAAGTTGAAGTCTGGAGTTTCTTGGGTTCGCCATACCACCAACAGTTGTGGTCTCTTAGAAGAACAAGTGTGGACATGTTAATGTTCACAAGATCTAATTTAAGATGGCAGTGGGTTCCAAAGACTGCAATATTTAATGATGGAGATGTCTTTCCTAATGGTTATTCTGTGGGTGGCCGCATTCAGAAGGCAGTCGAGGATATGATTCATTATTTGTCCTCTTTATGGATGAGTTTCTGTAACGATGCTTTCTATTGACTTTGAAGAGCAGAAATAAGTTGCATTCCACTCTCCTTAACCATAGAAATTATATTTCTTAATGTAAACTCAATTCCCTAGTCGTTTGTAACAAAATCGGCAAGTAAAAGCGACTCGAAACTCAGTAAGAGCAGTGTCACTGGGTGCAATCCTAAAGTACATGAGAGCATATCTGGAAAACCTGCTGACATACATGAGGTTGATATTGACTCACAAACTATGTCTGACCAGAAACCACTGGCAGACCACACTCAATCTGGATGCAAGCCCGAGAGTCCCGCAGTAGAAACTGCAAGAAAGACGACAAAGCCTAGAGTCCCACTCCAGACTTCGACATACCTCCCTCTCAATAAGTCTAATAAGCAACATGTCAGTCTAAAAAAAAGACGCATGGGAAAAAAACCATATTCCCAAAAAAGTCATCCATCATGTGAATGAGAACACCCCTTCCCGAACTAGGAGTAATATGCCTAGCAACGCACATAACTTGGGAATGCAACGTAGAACGGATCATCAGGATATAAGGAGCACTAAACGGGGCTCGTATAGGCACCATATTAATGCATATTCTTGTCCAAACTCTCACACTATCTATGTTGAACCTCAGCAACATAATGAGTATAGATCGACACATGACCCTCTCAATAACTTCACTCACACATGTGATGTGACCCAATATTCATACGACTACGAAAGACCCATGAGGTACAACTACCAAGGTAATCTTAACACAGGGTACCTAGGTCAAGCAAACTATATATCACCAGTAAATGAACGCAGATGCCCACCCATGGATGCTAAAAGTCAAAACATGCAACAGGATTATTTTCGGATGCAGCAAACAATAGCTCCACTCGCTGCACAATTCATCCAGGAAATAGTACACACACTGACTCTGTCTCACTTCAGAGCCCCTCCAAACATAACGTAGGAATAGTAACAAGTAACCATGTTGACCTCTCCCCCAATAACTCTGGTTTACTAACGATTATGCTCCTGAATGCTAGATCTCTCCTTAACAAAATAACATCGCTTCGCTGCCTGGCATACATAGAACGGCCAACACTAATAATGGTGACTGAAACCTGGCTTACTACTGATATACCTGACTCAAAGCTAGTAATAGACAACTACGACATCTATAGGAACGATAGAGTTGACAAAAGAGAAGGCGGTTGCTTAATATATGCCTCTAAATCCACTAACTCCAATACTTTTAATAACCCAACTACTGACAAACTCCCTGAATCTAAGTGGATAAGCATCCACACAAACGAAAATAAAATGCTCGTGGGATGTATATACAGACCCCCTAATAGCCCTGAAATGAGTGATATAGCTACTGGAGAAATACTAGAGCATGCAGCTACGCTGGACTTTGACTACAAAGTAGTCTGTGGCGATTTCAACTTACCTGGAGTAAACTGGGATACCTGTACAGGACCTAGAATCCATGACGAGCTACTACAAGCTATAGACGTAGGCGGATGGAAGCAGTGCGTACGCCTCCCTACAAGAAATGAAAACACTCTTGACTTAATCCTTTGTCATGAAATTGAGCCCATCTCGATAGAGGTAGGAAATAAACTTGATAACAGTGATCACAACATATTGTACTGCACGCTACCATTCCGACTAACAACTAAGCACACACCTAAAAATTCCCCGGTGCACTATCAGTATAGGGACTATAAGAATGCCGATTGGGAATTCCTATCAGAACTTCTCAGCAGATCTGACTGGGAGGAATA